GGAAACACACTGAAGCTCATGGCACTGGAGACAGACAAGTGTTTGAATCATTCGCTGTGAAAAGGGATCAGTTCACTTACTTAAAAAAATGTGTAAACCTGTTGCCTTAAAATTGTTATGTAAATAAACTTAATGCTTAATTGAAAAAAATAAGTTATGTGAACTTGACAATTCCACATTACTTAATTTTTTCGATTAAGCATTTTAAGGCAACGGGTTTCCTCATTTGTTTAAGTTAAAGGAGTCGCCGGACGCCCATTTTACACAAGTCGGTGTGAGTCTTCATGTGACGTGTGTAACATACTTTGGTTTAAATTCCTGAATGTTTGTGTAAAACAACACCTTTACCTCCTCAAACACAGCTCTGCTCACAGCGACCCGCTTCAGTGCATGTCTCTTTAAATCTCTCTCTCTCTTTACTTTTATTTTTATTTTTTACTTTATTATTACCTATGGTTTATTGTTATATTTATGTCTATGGTATATTCTTTTTCTGTTTTAAAATTTTTAGATTGTAAGGAAAATATCTTTGTAAAATAAAAGAGACCCTAAAAGTCAAAGTCTCTCTCTCTCTCTCTCTCTCTCTCTCGACACAAGACACTAAAGTGATGCCTTGACAATATACAAATGTCTGAGGGCGGAAATATGCTAATAGGAGAGATATGCTAATAGGGGAAATATGCTAATACGTGAAATATGCTAATAGGGGAAATATGCTAATACGGGACAGTCCGTCAGCGCTCGTGGGCGGAGCTTGAGCATTATGACATCATATTGCTCAGAAAATCCAAACGCTTGATTATTGAGAGTGTTTAGAGGTTTTGAGGATTTAAAAAAAATGGATTGGATTTTCTTCATTGTCTGGCGGTTGTGTCCACACACTGCACACACACACACATCTATGTGCAAACACCATATAAAAGTGAACTTTGCATCCGATGACCCCTTAAAGTCAACTGATCAGTTTTCACAGTGTGTGTGTGTGTGTGTGTGTGTTTCTCCCCGCTGGAGGTGAACATGAGGACATATTTCAGGGACAATAGCAAGAGCGAGAGAAACGAGACGCCGAGACTCAGAAATAGCCTGTGATCCAGAGCAGCTGCTCGACACAATAGAGGATCAGCCGAACACACACTCTTCCAGTGACGCTACACACACTCTTCCAGTGACGCTACACACACTTGTAAATAGATAAACAAAAATAAGCTAATAAAACAAAAAGGCACAAATAAAGTGCAACACATGCAGTGACTGGTAACTTTAACCATTGAAAGGACACTATGACAGAGATATCGCTTTCCTTATTCAAACTGATTTATTCTCCCATGAACATATGATTGACCTGAAGAATAAAAGCTGTATCATATACTTGGATATTCATATGAGCAATATCACACTCATAGCCGTGAGAAATGCCTCTATATCAGACGGGTTGCAGCTTTAATTTTGTGTGAAAAGATTGTTTTATCAATACAATTCTAAATAAATTTCAATAATTCAAGCACTTTTCAAGCACTTCTTCATAAATACGGCTGTTCTCAAGGCTTTTCCAGGACTTACATTTCAAAAAGTCGAACCCTGTTCTCTGAACGTTCAAACAAAAACATCATTAATACTGAACGTTTCAGTTGGACGTTCCTCTAACGTTTTATAAATGTTACTGGTTTCGGAATGTTCAGAGAACATTTAAATGTAACGTTCCAGTAATGTGTGAAGAACGACACAATGTACCGTTCACTGTGGAGAAAATCCAGCGTTTAATGTTGTTTGTGTGTCTATGTGGTGTTTTTAATACGCTTTAAGACAAACCATGTGTAAGTTCATAAGTCGACAGCATTGCTGAGTATTTCCTCCTTAAAACTGCAGTGAACCAAAGACAGTCTCAAACACACTGAAATCGCTGGTGTTTCTGACGTCACAAACGAGCTTGTAACCAATCAGATCAACGTGTGATCGTCAACCAGTGGATCTCTGAGCTGAGTGAGTGAGTGGAGGCGGGGCTCATTTGCATATTCATAGAACCGCGCATACTAAATGAGGCAAGGGTGTCGAATTACATTCAAGATGTTTTAAGGCATGAAGAAAAAACTTTTAAAAATATCATTGTGGTGATACAATTATTGACTACAGGGGGACTTTGAGACCTTTTTAAGGCCTTAATTTGTGTAAACGTGGTTAGGATCTTATTAACTAGGATGTGAAGACAAACCCAGCTCTGCCAGTGCAGAAGAGCAAAGGCCACGTTTATATGGTTCGGTTAATGCAAAACGATCCGCCAAACTGGTTTTGTGCCTCCGCCTGCGTGTTTAATCTGTCTAACCCCTGCAATTTGCATTTTTCTTGGAGAAAAGCACACAGAGAGAGAGACTAGATAATAATATTGGCAGTGAGTTAATGATTAAGTGCATTTCTCCTCTTCCCCTTTGAACATGTAGCTTCTGCTTTTAAACTCATTATAATCATTCATTATGCATGCGCTCTTAAACACACTGAGCTGCTCTAGATGCACAAAATCCTAAACATGTGAGCATAAACCTTCATTCTGTACCAATGCAACCTGGACTATTGTACAGCCACCGATAAACAGTGTCGTGCACGCGCCTGTACACGTGTGCGCGTGCGCGTTTGCTTCACCTGCCGAAGGAGACTGGAGCAAATGCGTGACGAACGTTCGTAAAACACAATAAACATCTGATCTTGGAACATTACCACAACTATGTTGATTAAATACAATGCAATTAGAAAGCAATGCAACTTTTAATTTCATGAAAACATGTGACATGCTCAGAAATGCAACGAAATAAACTTGTAACAGTAGAAGTTCGTTGTGTATTTGATGCATTACAGGTGATCGGTGAGATTGCTCTTACCTGGCTGCTCTCTCAGGCTCATCACTGATATGATATAATGCGCCATGTCAAAGTATGGGAACATGGACAGATTTGACAGCCCGAGAGCGAGTTCATTTAGATTGAGAATCGCGAACACATCCATGACTTCAGATCCTCCTCGTGCACGCGCTTTAATCCCGTGCTCGTGCACTGGATCTGTAGTTCCCAGAGGATGATCGGACTCACGGAATCGGTCCAGATGATTTTAGCAAATAACTTATATTCTTCTGTACTCTTTGATCTCAGATGATCTCAGTTGTAACCGGATCCGCCGCCATTACAGTCGCGGATGCTGAGAAACACACGCGAGCGCGCGCGCGTGCACGCCGTTGCGTAACAGACCGCAACCATTGATCTCGCATGTAAAACCACTGTTTGACACTGAAACTCCTCTTCGTTTGTTTCGGTCGTGCAGTTATTATACTCTGCAACTTTGGAAAGATGTTAGTTGGTTTATCTCAAGCTAAATATCTCGATGAATCCCCAAACTGTTATTTTCGGATTTTTAAAAAGCGGATTCAAATGCCTGCTTTATAATAAATCTAATTATTTTCCTAAATTTTATATTCATAAATGTAAGTTTGCAAGTTTGGTATTCTTACACGAGATAAAACATTACTTGATTACAATTTAATCTTCTCTTAACCCAAAAGCACTCAGAACATGTAGACTTTGCCCGACCTACAAACTTTTTACCTTAATTAATGTTTACATTTCTTTTAATTTATGTAATGCCGTCTTTCTTTCTTTTCTTTTTCCATTCTCGTTTATTTACTGTCTAGTTCTGTTTTTGTATTGTGCTATGGAGTTAGTGAAGTGTTTTCTTATACTATTCTTTATATTTTTGTTATTCTTAATCGTAATACTTATTGTTCTGTTCTAATGTTGTTGTTTCACACTGTAAACTGAATGTTCAAATAAAGCATTTAAAGAAAATAATAAAACCACTGTTTCCATAACGAAGCTACTCTTTTCCTCATCGGTAAACTTATGATGATGCCAGAGATTCTGCATTTTATATTGTCTCTCAACAGCGACACCTGCTGTACAAACGAGGCACAGCAGTAGGAGCTCCAGCGACAGTTCTCGCGAGATTACACAAGGTGGCGCCATTGTCAAGCGCATCGCCATGGAGACAGAAAAAGAGCGGGATTCTCCTTAAAGCGCGCTGAACGGTAGGTAGGTGTATGTGAAATGTAAACTACTAAAGCATTCTATGTCCAATTACGTTTTGTGATACTTGTTTTGAAAAAGGTTTATAATAGTAGACATTAGACAACGTGTTAAATGCCTCAGACTTTTGAGAAATTATGGATATGTGTACGAAAACTGTCGTGACAGGAAACAGTGAAATATGAGGAAGATTTCTGACAGTGAGTCACATCAGAACATCTGAGCCGGTTATTTGGGGTAATTAACCAGAAAAACAAGTAGATTTCCAAGTATTGAGGTTAGTTAGAGTAGAGATGATGAGTGAATATGGCAGTCTTTAAGAGTTTGTTTACTGGCGCGAGGGCGGGGCAACCTGTCACTCACATGAGATCCACCAATAGCGAACCACAACCATCCAATTCCAATCAATTCCCCACAGACACAATCAAGCCCCGCCCCTACAACTTTTTATTTCTCTCGAACATACGTCACAATAGGGAAAAAACACTAACTTTAAATAATTGGACTATTGAATCGTTGTGATTCTTTGTATGATTTAATGATAACTGTCTGCATTATAAAGGTTGTAAGGTTATTTTCTTTGTCGGTGAACACGACAGTCATTTCCTTCAGATCTTTAGAACAGAAATCTGGATCATTGATCCACTCTCGGTTCATGACAATCTGTACTCAATTCATAATGTTTTATTTAATACTGCTGAATCATAATTAACTGGGAAGATGAGATGTGCATTGACTGATTGCCGGTTTATTTTTCTACATTGATCATGTGACCTAAGTCCAAACAGCCAATCACACGCTTATTAAATTCAAGAGCATTGAATAATTCAGTACTTGTTCTGAAAGCTTCATTATTTTTTTAACATTTTAATTCAGAACAGTGTTGAAGTTCCCATAGCAAGAATGGACATAAGAATGATAAATACCAACCATTTATGAGTCTTTCCAGAGACTAAACCATAGAGTGTAAGTAAATACACTATAATTTAATTATTCAGGAATTTAATTAAGATCGACCGGCCGTCATGCCCTGATAGACAACACAAAACCGTGACACTTTAACCTGCCCTACATAGCAGTGTGTGTGTGTGTGTGTCAGTGTTTACTGGTGTGTGAGTGTTTTCTGTTGAGGTTCAGGCCAAATGACCCCTGACATGATGAGGAATTGAGTGTTTTGAGAGATCAACTAGATGAGGTTTGCCATGTGTATCGCTTTATCTGAGTATACACTCGTGTAGGGCGAGATACTGTATACTAAATAGGGCTGAATTTAAAATCAAAGCCTTTAAGAGTCATGTGTTAATGAATGTGTTCACATGAATGTTTATTGTGGCGTGCAACTGCAAGTCGTGAAGAGAATGTAAAAGAAATATCATTGTGTTGTTTTGTTTCACAGTACCCAGGCATTTTTGCATATTTTCATTTATTCATTGTACATACACATGCAAAAGACGAACATTATTTTCCATAAAAAACTATTATGTTATTAGTTTTTAGAAAGGAAAATCTACTTTAAACACTCATTACTTTTTAGAACCTTTTTAGAAACACTCATTACTTTTTAGAACCTTTTTAGAAACACTCATTACTTTTTAGAACCTTTTTGGAAACACTCATTACTTTTTAGAACCTTTTTAGAAACACTCATTACTTTTTAGAACCTTTTTGGAAACACTCATTACTTTTTAGAACCTTTTTAAAAACACTCATTACTTTTTAGAACCTTTTTAAAAACACTCATTACTTTTTAGAACCTTTTTGGAAACACTCATTACTTTTTAGAAACTTTTAAAAAACACTCATTACTTTTTAGAACCTTTTTAAAAACACTCATTACTTTTTAGAAACTTTTTGGAAACACTCATTACTTTTTAGAAACTTTTTAAAAACACTCATTACTTTTTAGAAACTTTTTGGAAACACTCATTACTTTTTAGATCCTTCTTAGAAACACACACTTAAGAAAATGTTTTTAAAACACTCATTACTTTTTTAACTATTTTAGAAACACTCAGTTACTTTTAAGAACCTTTTTAGAAACGTACACTTACTTCTTAAAACATTTTTAAAACAGTCATTACTTTTTTGAACCATTTTAAAAACACTCTGTTACTTTTAAGAACCTTTTTAGAAACAGTGTAATGTGTTGCTTTTAAAAGTCACATTCCTCAACACTGGTAACAGCGTCATGTGATCTGAGCGCGGATCATCTGTTAAAGTGCAGTGAACACACTGCGCTCTGAGGTCAGAGGTCAGCGCGGATCTGAAGGAGGTCACAGATGACCCACATCTGAACACACCAAGGTCATCGGCACCGTGACCTTTAGCCTAGAGGTCACTGTCAGGAGAGAGAGTATAACCCGGGGGGAGGAGCAGTAGACATGCCAGTGAGCATTTCTAAACAAACACACACACATGTGCACACTCTTACACAGGGTTTTCATGCAAATGATGAGGATGCATCTGAAAATGCTTTTTAATATTAAAAAAGCATGTATTAATGGATCATTTTTGCATTTAAAACATAAGTATATTGTCAGGATTTTCATGTGGTTGCTAGGCTGTTCTGTATGGTGTTCAGGGTGGCATTGTTAGTTTTAGTGAAGGACGTTCAACAAAACTAGGTTTACACAGTTACTTCTTAGAACCTTTTTTAAAACACTAATTACTTTGTAGAACCTTTTTAGAAAAATGCAGTTACTTAGAACCTTTTTAAAAAAACACATTACTTTGTAGAACCTTTTTAGAAACGCACAGTTACTTCTTAGAACCTTTTTTAAACACTCACTACTTTGTAGAACCTTTTTTAAACACTCATTACTTAGAACCTTTTTTAAAACACTCATTACTTCTTAGAACCTTTTTTAAACACATTACTTTGTAGAACCTTTTTTAAAACACTCATTACTTCTTAGAACCTTTTTTAAAACACTCATTACTTCTTAGAACCTTTTTTAAAACACTCATTACTTCTTAGAACCTTTTTTAAAACACTCATTACTTCTTAGAACCTTTTTTAAAACACTCATTACTTTGTAGAACCTTTTTAAAACACGCATTACTTCTTAGAACCTTTTTTAAACACTCATTACTTTGTAGAACCTTTTTTAAAACACTCATTACTTTGTAGAACCTTTTTTAAACACTCATTACTTCTTAGAACCTTTTTTAAACACTCATTACTTTGTAGAACCTTTTTTAAAACACTCATTACTTCTTAGAACCTTTTTAGAAACGCACAGTTACTTCTTAGAACCTTTTTTAAAACACTCATTACTTCTTAGAACCTTTTTAGAAACGCACAGTTACTTCACCTTTTTTAAAACACTCATTACTTCTTCTAACCTTTTTTAAAACACTCATTACTTTGTAGAACCTTTTTTAAACACTCATTACTTCTTAGAACCTTTTTTAAACACTCATTACTTTGTAGAACCTTTTTTAAAACACTCATTACTTCTTAGAACCTTTTTGAAACGCACAGTTACTTCTTAGAACCTTTTTTAAAACACTCATTACTTCTTAGAACCTTTTTAGAAACGCACAGTTACTTCACCTTTTTTAAAACACTCATTACTTCTTCTGACCTTTTTTAAAACACTCATTACTTTGTAGAACCTTTTTTAAACACTCATTACTTCTTAGAACCTTTTTTAAACACTCATTACTTTGTAGAACCTTTTTTAAAACACTCATTACTTCTTAGAACCTTTTTGAAACGCACAGTTACTTCTTAGAACCTTTTTTAAAACACTCATTACTTCTTAGAACCTTTTTAGAAACGCACAGTTACTTCACCTTTTTTAAAACACTCATTACTTCTTAGAACCTTTTTTAAAACACTCATTACTTCTTAGAACCTTTTTTAAAACACTCATTACTTCTTAGAACCTTTTTTAAAACACTCATTACTTTGTAGAACCTTTTTTAAACACTCATTACTTCTCAGAACCTTTTTTAAACACTCATTACTTTGTAGAACATTTTTTAAAACACTCATTACTTCTTAGAACCTTTTTTAAAACACTCACTACTTTGTAGAACCTTTTTAGAAACGCACAGTTACTTCTTAGAACCTTTTTTAAAACACTCACTACTTTATAGAACCTTTTTTAAAACACACATTACTTTGTAGAACCTTTTT